AAACTGAAATACAAATCAATATAAAATCATATAAGGGTATGCGCACGATGTTGGTGACCACCTTTTTGTAATAAGTGGCCTAATGCTACATTTAGTCTTACAGTTCCTCTAAACTCATGAATAGAAACTTGATTTTATGCACAGTTGATGCGCAATTAACTTGCATTTTAGCGACTACCTATTTTCTGCATAAAGCTTTGATTGAAAAAAATAAATTTGTTGTGAACGAAATGTAGTGTAGTTAAAAGACGCCATTTTGGCCTACTCTCAGTTTCGGTCTCAGTTACCTCTACAAAAAAAAAACTGTTTTGACCAGAATAGACAAAGCATCTAGAGATGCACATATACCAAAGTTTCTCCTCAGCTCAAAATTTATGGCTGAATTTCCATGATTATTAAATAAAAAACACCTTTTTAGTGTTAGAAAGTATTTTTCAATACACCAAATTTCCAAGGCACGATGCATAACTGCGCGTAGAGGCTCGATTATCGTTCTTTGTCATTTCGTGCATCGTGCCTTTGTCCTTGAGGCCGGCCATATCTAAGCACGATGAAGGCGACAGTTAAGCACGATAAGTTGCTTAAGCGCGCAGAGAGTGGTACGATGACACCTTCAGAACAAGACACACTCGTAGAGTATGATACACAACGGACTTTCTTAGCAACTTAAATACCCCAATTTATTTTTATTATTTCTTTCTCTTTTGAACACCATAGTTTTCTCTTCAAATGATATATCAACGATTGTTCGAAAAAGGCTCGATGAAAGCACAGTTACGGCTCATTAAAGGCACCATGAAGGCACTATCTATGCACGATCGATGGAATTCTGGTTCGATACACGTTTATAGGCTTCTCATGCACGATTATCGTGCAAGCACGATGCACAATGACAAAATTGACCTATTTCCTTACTGCTGTGTTCCTTCACACCGTACACTTAGCCATAAATTCGTTGTTTCTTTGCTCAAAACTGCTACGGCGACCTAAAATTTACTCCTTTCTTTAAGTTCTTTTTTTTTTCGGAGACAATTTTGATATACTCAACTATATAAATCTAATCTTTCTAAACCCCACTAACTGATGTTTGTCAATCTCACCGTTTCGTCTTGTTTTAATTTATCGTTGTTGTCGACAACAGAGAGTATCGTTATGGCCATATCTGCCGCTTTTTCTACGTCTTTGTTGTTAACCAACAGCTCCATTTCATTTTCAGCAACTTTGATTAGTCTCAACAGGGCCTCCGATGCAGGTGGTGGTTTCACCTGGAATAATAAAAAGTACAAGAAAAACACAAGCGCAAACTATTACGCGACTGAGGGAAAGTTTTAGAAAGCCTACACTTCAATCTATATTTAGACTACTACTTTTACCTCCATTACTTCCTTGTCTTTTGGTACCACTGACACTAAAATATTATCATACAGACATTGAAAACGAGTGACCATGCCCATGACACTAGCAACTGGCTATGGTACTCACCATGACAACGATAATTCAGCAGTTACAATGGCAATAGCATTAGCAATGGCAAAGACAGTGACAATGATAATGGTGATGATAACGGCAATCACATTGGTATTGGTAGTGAAAGCTAGGTGACAATAATATAATAATGACAATGAGAGTGATGATGGCAAAAATGTTGATAATCAAAATGATAAGTCGACAACTATAGTATAGATTACGTTTGTCAAAGAAATATTCCTTTGAGAGGTGTGGTCTAGGTAATTTCGTACAGCAAAGGTTAAATAACACCCTCACCTTTGTTTTTACAAAAACGCTTGTATATTCTCCAAAAGCGTCAATAATTTGCAGCTCCAGTATGCGTTCGTGATCTTTTTTAGGGTCACCTAGAGGCAGTTTGCTTGTCACATTTCCAATACTTCCATCTTGAATGATAACCGTACTAGAACTAAACGTGTATTTAAAAGCGTAACGGAGTGGTATATCTTTGTCGTACCAACCCAAACAAGTCACATAAAAGTCTGTAAGAATGGCGGCGCCCTCTCTCGGTGTCACTTTGCAGCCACTGTCTGTGCCTTGAATGTTTTTTGGGGGCGAGTTAACGAGAAAGGAATAGACCTCTTGTTCCTGAGGCTGCCCATTGTTATCAAACGAATTTACTTTGATTTGGAATTCCTGCCCATCCCTGACTGGAATCACACTATCCACGCTGGATATACTAAACTGTGTTGTGTCTTCACTAGTCCTTATCAGGCCACTAGCGTTTTTCAGTTCTTCCCAGATGGAGACACCTTGATGATTCGTTATAAGAATATGAATGGTCCATGAAAATGTGGCAATCGTGGCGCACTGCATTCTTCCACAAAAGACCTCAAGCTTCATGAGCTTATTGGGACTAACTTTTCTCGCGCAATTATTGATGCACCTGAATAACATTGAAAATAAATACTCTGAACTCAAGATCCAGTTTAATGTTCAGACGCCAATGAATATTAGGGAGCTTAAGCAAAGACGACGGCGACAGCTACGAAGT